AATAATGGGACTTTAGTGAAACATGTAAGTAATAAAACCGGTAAACCGGAAAAAAAACGAGTCAAATTACCGGTAATTCATGCTTTTTCGTAAACAAAATTTAGTTTGGGACTTTTTTGTAAATTCGTGTGAAATTTTAGGACTTTTCTGGAGATTTCTCAATAAAGATCCTATATCAAAGAGTATTTTTAAAGCTATAAAATCTGGGAACTCACCACATTATATTGACTGTTTTCAAAACCCATATATTCTTAGGGAACTGAAAGAAAAATAGATCATGGCAGGGAAGGATAAGAAGCATAGAATTACATAGTTATTTATATTTATATATATATACTAATTTAGAACTAAATGATGAACAGTTCTTGGCTGTCATTGGACCACTTCTATTTTTTATTTTTTGTTTTTTTTTCTTCAACAATCATAGATTAGTGTCACGACACATGTATGAAAAATGGGAGTTTACCGACTGTTACCCCATAAAAATTGGATTGGTGGCGATCGGCTCTTAACCCGATATCCCACCGCCCATAGATGGATTTCACCCCCGATTAATGTTTTCCTTCTCCATTTCTTCCCTATTTTCTCTGATATCGGTTAAACCTCCCTTCTCGGCTTTGCGTCTGGTGGTTCGATAATACTCCGTCGCCAACATGTGCTTCCCACAAGCGAACATCATAAACGATGAAGGAAGCTCCCACCATCTTTATCTCTCAGTTACCTTAATTTTTGTATTGATTTTATTGAGATTCAGGTTTCTGTGTTCGATGTTCAAGGGAATACGCGAACGGGTTTCTACTGATATAAACCCTACATCGATTGAAGTATTTTAGATCTGTGAAGGGGTTTCTACCAAAGGAATAGACGACGGGGTTTCTACGCATCGCTCTTCCATGTGGCCCTGATATGTCCATATTATCTTCTGGTAAGTGTTTTCCTTCGCCTCTTTGACCATCGAAATCCACCACCTGTGTTGCATGTGTCTTCCGTAATCTCATATCCTCGAATTGACAGGTCGGTGAGCTCAAAGATATTTAGAAACTCTTTGTCGGCTTCCAAAAATTAATCCTTAATTTTGCGTTTTATGCAGATATGTACCTATCTCCTTTGGGATTATGCCACTAATGGACATTTTTTGGGGGAGAAATTCAAAATTTAGTCACAAAAAATCGGATTTCCACATATAGACACGCTTTCCACGGAGGTGAGCTCCGAGGGGATCCGCGGATTCACTGGAGCTCCGCGAAGTGGCAAAATCGTAATTAAATCAAGGGTGTTTTGAAAAAAAGAAAAACACTGTAGCTCCGCGGAACTGTTCATCAAATTTTTTTTTCATAAACACCCTTGATTTAATTACGATTTTGCCACTCCGGGGAGCTACAGTGAATTCCTCGGAGCTCACCTCCACGGAAAGCATGTCTATATGTGGAAATCCATTTTTTTGTGACTAAAATTTGAAATTCTCCCCCAAAAAATATCTATTAGTGGCATAATCCCATCTCCTTTGTTTCACTCATCGCCTTTCCACCAATAAACCTTTGACCTCGGTAGAAAGGCTCAACAAAGCCATAAGAAAACCTCCCAGATAAAAAAAAACAATCGCTCTTTTTTAAAAGCATCTGTTTTTAAAAGCTTTTGTACGATTCAGGCTTTAAATCATTGTTTCCACTATTTGTGAACTAAGTTGATTTTGGTTATAGGTTTTTTTTTTCTTATCTGCGTTTAAATTTTGAGGTTGCTGATGCGAATTTCTATCAGTTTGGATTATGGTTGGGTTTAATTTGAATATTCATCAATTGGCTTTCAAGATTGTGAATACTGTTCGTGTCCACATCTCATGGATAGTTAAAAATGTATACTGACTGAACCAATCTAAGTAGAAATTTTATGCGCATATATTCTGCTTCATATAGAAATGTGTCCCTGTTATTCATTATCCTCCATCACAGGTACTTTTTTTTTTACCTGGGAGGTTTTCTTATGGTATAAAATTTAACTATCCATGAGATGTGGACAAGAACAGTATTCACAATCTTGAAAGCCAATTGATGAATATTCAAATTAAACCCAACCCTAATCCAAATTGATAGAAATTCGCATCAACAACCTCAATCACATGTACTTTTTTGGTGTTGATGTGTATGGTTACAAAGCAATGAAAGGGATATATGAAATTATGAATAGCTTTTGATGTTTTTTTTACCCTATATCAAGAAGTTGTAATCTTTTCATCTTCCTAACCCGCATTTTGTTTTGGTTAAACATGAATTTTACATCTGCAGGGTCTGAAAACTAGCATTGTCGACGGCGATGTGGTTGATGGAACATGTGTTAATCATGGTTGTGTTTCTTCAAAAGGACTTCTTACTGTCAGGGGTCGTATGAGGGAGCTTCAGAATGAACACCATATGAAGTCTATTGGTTTACAGGTATATCCCTTACTCAAAAGTACAAGAATTAGTCCTTAAATATTGGTAGAATTTACAAATTTGTGATAATTTCTATTTGCAGGTTGCAGCTACTGGTTAGTTTAAATTGCAGGTTTTCTCCATGTGAAACATACACATTCTTTTACTATTGATTTCTGAGGTCTGTGCGTTGTTACTGAAATTTCAGATAGAAATCTACGAAATCCAGCCACTACATTATGTAAGATTCTTTAAATTTTTTACTAATATATTATTAGAAAATATGTATTTTTGTAATTTATATGATGTTTCTTCCTAAGTTCTTATGAGTACCAAATTGAGACAATCGATATGACTGTAATTAGGATAAAAAAATAGTTTTGGTTTTTCAATTTATTCCACTTTTGCCCTTTTAACATGTTTACCTTTACCGGTAATATTCAGGAAAAAATTGTCAAAAACTAGAAGATAGACTACCGGTGAACCTTCTAAAAGGGTGAAATGGGAATAAATGCAAAAATGTTTTGTCTTTTTAGGAAAACAATAAAGTTGAAGTTTAATCACAGAAAAAACCCAATTATACTATCTTTTATGATTATGATATTAACCCTAAATGAGTTGCCATAATTTGTAGGATTCCCTGCAAGATTTGAAGTCAGAGTTCAATATTTATGAAGATATTATGCTTCAAAAGATCAAAGGTTTGTTAAGCTAATGGTTGATTGTTGTTATTGTTGACTTTTCTTCTCTTTGTTTTCCCATTTTTAGTCTCAATTTAAAGCTGTTAGCATGAATGGTGGGTTTCAGAGAGCTTTTGCCTTGCTCTTGCACATCCACTTGCTACCAATAGAGTTGTTTTTGGTTCTGATTGCTAAAAGTAAATATTTACTTACTTTAAATCTTTAATTTCTGAATTTAAATCCTTATAGGGTGTGACTGATTCCCCATATTTTTCAATTTCTTAAGGAAGGGCTAAATGCAAGAAAAAGAGATGTACTTTTGTTGTTTTGTTTACCATAGCATCCTACTTTCTTTTTTTACTTATTATAACTTTGTATGTTGAAAATTGTAGAATCATTAGTTACTCTTTAATAAACTGAAGCCTATTTAGAGTTAAAATTTTGTAAAGTTCCCTTTTTTCGTGGATTTGTTTATCAAATTACTTCCATTTTAGCATTTTGACAAGTTCTCCTTTTTCTTATTAACTGCACTAGATGATTAGATATAGAAATATACAAACATCAAAAAAAATTATGTTTTAATCAATTAACCAATGATATAATATGATACTTATACATCATAAGAATTAGAAATAACAATAAATCCAAAAAAAATTATGTGCACTTTTTAGGTTTAACAAACTTTGGTATTATTAAGTTGGCTAAATGCAGCAAGCATCAATGTACTTTCATTTATCTATTTATTATTTTCAATTATAACATTGTATTAGAAAAATCTTATTTGTAAAAAAAAATTGCATATTTAGAACTATTTGTAGATTTAAAGTATGTTTTTAAATAAGAGTGAATTGGTTAGATTGGTTTTGTATGTTGCCAACAGGTGTTCATGCTAATGGGTCAAATAAAATATGAGGTTTCATTCATCTATGCACAGACCAACATTTTCTTATCTCTAAACTTTCTGCATCGCTTTAACTAATCCCGTCATTCGCTTAAGGACTACGAATCGACAAAGTTTCAGCAATCGATTCAACACAGAGCTGGTATCAAGGGATTAGAAAACGTTGATAACCATGTAAAAAACATCCGATGTTTTCGATTTTGACTGATTAAGTTAGGGTTATCTTCAATTAACTCTCTGGAATTAAGAAACGCAAGAGCTTTTACTTTTCCAGAAAAAAAAAATCGTTTATTACCTGTTAATTCCCTCTCTTTATGCTATGGTGTTTTGATTAACAACATTATGCACCAAATGCCTAATTTTAATATAAGATTTCTCAAAAATTATAATATAACATAACCAAGGACAAAGTGTAGAAATGATGCCTAAATGATGACAAAAATTTGCATTCTAACTCCTGCAAGGCGGGATCCTTCCCTAGTTATCATCTAAAAGTCAACGAATTCGTTGTGTGTGAATAAAAGAATTATGTTGTTGGTTTTTATGCTTTGTGATTTAGATAATCGTACCCTGTCACAGCTCGATGTTTCCGCCACGGGCCGATGACTAAAATGAAAATGTTTCTAAAAAATAATGGTAAAATGGAAACAAAAAAAATATTGGGGCTAAATGCAAACTCATACGTAAATATTGGGGCTAAATGCAAACCCATACGTAAATGTTGAGACTAAATGCAATTTGAGAAAAATGCAAATCGACACGTCATCATAACCTGTTGCTGACTCGCCAAGGGACCGAAAATTAAATGTTTTCTAAAATATAATGACAAATAAAAAAACAAAAAATAAAATTGAGGCCAAAACAGAATAAAATTATATATATAATGGTTTTTATGACAAAAATGAAAAAAAATAAATAAGGTTAGCGTTTGAATCTTATTTTCTAAAAAACCCCAACTTAAGGTAAACCACACAAACTCTAAAAAGCTAGGGTTTTCCTGTAAAAATCACTGTATAATATACTAATTTAAAGGTATTATTTTATAGAAACCATATAATTATGAACAAGAAAGTACCTGAATAATATACACTCCTACCTATGAACATAAACTTATCCTCCTTAATCTTCAACCAAAAAACTTGGTTTTTACTGTATAATATACTAATTTAAAGGTATTATTTTATAGAAACCATATAATTATGAACAAGAAAGTACCTGAATAATATACACTCCTACCTATGAACATAAACTTATCCTCCCTAATCTTCAACCAAAAAACTTGTGATCAGAAAAGGAATTGATTCGTACACAACCAAATTTTTCTATACACAACAATTTATGCTTTAAAATATTGTATTGTTCAATTCTATTAAGCACAAATTATTGTATACTTATAAAAACTGTCGTGTACTAATCGATTCCCGACCAGAAAATGTTCACTCGACCTGTTCGCCAATCAAATCAAGGCCAACAAGAAAAAACGCGATCCCTTGAAAAAGCAAGAAGTAAAAATGGATTCCCTGAGCCGCCAAGAGACTCCGAGCTGCCGCCGTCAAGAGAAGAAACGCCAGCATCAACTCCTTGGTATAAACCCTATTATATTTCCTCTTTCTGTACGCCTTCGTCTCTTCCTCTTTCATCTTCTTCTGCAACTCCTCCAGATCCGGTTCGGAAATACCTCCTCTAGGGTTTACTTTCCGATCTTTCTCGATTAACGAAATCAGATCTCCCTCCGACGATCGGCCGGATTTCTTGGTGACGACCCATTCGTAGGCGCTTCCGAGTTGGAAAAGACCAGAAATCATGGCGTTGAATTTGGTTACAGACATCGTGTTTTCGAAGAGGAGGTAAGGGACGATGAAGGGGAAGGATTTGGGGGCGGGGAGGATGTTGAGAAAAGACATGGTGACGGGGACGTAACAGATGATTAATGATGGAAGGGTGGCTTCAGGTATGAACATCGTCATTGGGAGAACGATGCAGAAGAGAGTGAAAGAGTAAAAGGGGAGAATGAGTTTTCTTAAGAGGAAGAAAAGAAATATTAGGTTTGTTTTCTTCCAAATGCTAATCTGCAAAAACACCAGATTGAAACTCAACCATTCACCATTTTCATTTTGAAGGTTACACTAAAAAAAATAGATAGATACCTTTGATTTTATGATATCTGGTAAGCAAAGCCTAAATAGCTGCATAGGTCCAGAATGCCATCTATGCTGTTGCTTCCTGTATGCTTCATATGATTCGGGTAACTCACATTGACACTGAAAAAAATGAAAAGAGAAAAACACAAATTTAACATCAACTAATATAACTTTTTTAATAAAATATATAAAACCACACAGGTATCAACTTTGCTCTATCTATGTGGTTCCATCTAGGTTATTTTCGATGAAGAAGATGAGGAGAGGATTCACGTCTTTTGTACTATTCGCCTTAATCTTTTCAGGTGGGACCAAATAACTGCAAATTTTGTCCCACTAACATCTGATCAATTGTATGTCAAACAAAAAGAGTATAACATGTAAGAAATATGGTTGCTATTTTAAGGAGAATAAATAAGAATTATGGAAAAATGTAACAATTACCACGGAAAGAAAGATATTGGTGATGAAACATAAAAGTTTGATAAATTGCATAATTTGGTTGATGCAAGTTTGACCTTCAAAGTAAAACTTGTTCAAAGAAAGCATATTATACCTCAACATCATTGAGAAATATCATTTTCCATCCATGAAGATGAGCTCTAACGGCGATGTCCATATCCTCAACGGTGGTCCTCTCCAACCACCCACCGGAATCCTCCAACGCCTTAATCCGCCACACACCCGCCGTCCCATTAAACCCAAAAAAGTTCAAGAAAAATCCATTTACTTGTTGCTCAACTTCAAAATGGAATGTTAAATTTATATATTGTAACCTTGTTAGTAGATTCTCATCCTTGTTCACAAACGACCAACGAGCTTGTACCAATCCCAATTCCTCGTTATCCTAAAAATTTTAATCAAAATATTCGAATAATTACAAGGTTAAAGCCAAGAAATAGTAGTTGATTTTCATTTTTTTTTTGTGTTATAGCATCTTACTTTAACTTCTTTATTTTCCATCATTGTACTTTCCGTTTTTTTTCTTATTAATGCATAGTATAATGAGTAATCTACCCAAATTATAGCATTGTAATTCCAATTTATGTTTTCTAATTAAGATATTATACTTCCAAAGTCATACCCTATTATAGCATCATACTTGCAATATTTTTCTTATTAGGATATTATATTTTAAAAACTTTATCCAGATTTTTTTTTTCATATTTGGATGACGTGGGTTACATGTAATAAATAACAATGCTTTCTTTTATTTGTTTATTATTGAACCCTACTTTTTTTTTCTTATAACAACGTCACACTTTAAAATATCTACCCAATAACAGCAAAGCTACCCAAATAAAAAATCATTTTTACTGCTATAACTCTTAGTAGATTTTTAAAAGTACAGATTACTAATAAGAAAAATAAAATAAAAGTACCATGCTGTAAATATAATAAGATAGATTTTTAAAATAAAAAGGAAAAAAAAAAAAAACAAAAGTGCAGTGTTATAATTATGTAGATTTTGAAAATACAATGACTTAATTGGAAAAAAAAACTAAATGTACAATGCCCTGAAAGAAAGATTTGAAAGTACGATGCTATAATAAAAAACAAATGAAGTGCATCCCTATTTCTTGCATTTAGCCCTAGATGACATTGTTATAATTGGGTTTGATTTTTCAAAGTACACTGCCATAATAGAAACAAATACAAATATAATAATAAGAAAAACAAAGCGATGAAAGTGTGTTATTATTTCTTGCATTTAACCCATTACAAATACTTTAAAACACATGAACATAATCTATTACCTTAAAATGAGAAACTGTTCTTGTTAGAAAATCAGGGGAGGGCTGGAAATCGGCATCAAAGATGGCAACAAATTCATAATCTTTAGCATAACTACAATTCATAGCAGATTTAAGATTGCCAGCTTTATATCCATCTCTAATCACTCTGTGCCTATAAACAATATTTGCACCATCTCTTTTCCATTTATGAACCTCATCTTTGATCAACAATTGGGCTGTTGGATCATCCGAATCATCCAAAACTTGAATTAAGATCTTGGATTTTGGCCAATTTAAATTACAAACAGCTCCAATTGATTGTTGATACACCTAAATATGTTCATCAATTTACAAAAGATACGTTATCAAGATTTAACGAAAGAAATAATGACATACTTCCAATTGTTTGTGTATTGCATTGTAGCATCTTATTTTCATTTCCTTTTTATTAATGTTGTAGTTTATAACTAAGTTAGTTACACAAACAAAAGTAAAGTACCATATGTGTAATTCAAATTGTTTAACGTTTGGATCAAATGTTATAAATAGCTTCTATCTTTTTCTTTTCACAAGGAAAGTTACCTCTTTTTCATTACACATGGGGATCTGGACAAGAACCATCGGGAAAAACCCATCACCCTCACCAGATTCAAGATCTGTTAGGGTTTGTTTAGCGACAGGTTTCATCTTCATGACCCGAATCAAGAAACAACCCAAACAGAGCACAAATCTGTCCAAACTCTGAACCAGAAACATATAGACACAAGAATTTGCCAAAATCTGTAGTGGTGGAGCTAGAAATTCGACACGTATCAAAACCCATTTTGAATAAATCCAATCGAAAAAACCCTTAAATGCGAATGGATTTGTCAATGTATATAAATACTGTAAATGGAGATCGGGAGGTCCAAACTGCCACCCTTTATAATAAGCAGCTATCTCGAACGCTAGTAATAGAACAGATAACAAAAGACACGCCTTAATGCAAGTATAAAAACGTGTGGATGTTCTAACGGGGATTCCGGTGTCGGATTCTGTATCTGTCCGACCGGATGTTACACGGCGGCGAACGGCGTAAGTAAGGGAGAATGTGGTGGAGGCGATAGAGGTAATGCAGCCGGCGGCACGATGGGCTTTGAGGAGTAGCACCCATGTCAGCTGCCTGGCGTTTTTGTTGTGGGCACGTCTTTTGTTGGACAAAACGGCATCGTTTAGGAAATCTTCCTTCGATGGAACTTTGAGCTCCACCATTGACCAGTTGTTTGGGTTTTCCATTTTCACCACCACCGGAGTCACCCGGTGGGCTTTTTTCATCAACCAATTCGGTGCCATTTTTGAAGAAAAAATTGTTGGTCTTTTAGGTTTTAGGCTGCAAATGGCAACGGGCACATTGTTTGAAGATTTAGGTTTTAGGCCGTAGAGTGGGTTTCTTCTTCGTAATTTTCTGTTTTTTTTTCCTTTTTTTTTATTCAAATTACAGGATACCGCTACACCACTTTGCAATTGCTCACTCTAAATATAAACCTTGATCGACAATGGTGGTTGGGGTTACGATCATTGCCGTAAGAAAGATGAAGACTCGGAAAATATGGGGCTTTCATTCCAAAAGAAACGGATTATATGGATGCAACTCCATTGTCTTGTTCTTTGGTTATTTGGAAAGGAAGAATTTACCCACAACATTTCGAAAACAGAATAGAAGAAGAACAAGAAAAATTTGGGTAGGATGGATGAAGACGAATATGAACGGAACGACGAAACACAAACACACGCGCTTCCAAAATCCCATGCCACAACTTTTTAATAAAGACAAATCTTCATAAATGGCCCATATAATTTTTTATAATATCAAATTTAGTCATTAATTTAATTTTGGTCGCTATAAGGTCCGGTTTCAATTTGTTTCACGATTGATCCCTGATCCATATGAAATTACTTCGTTACCCTTTTTAATTTTATTTACCTTTTTCTTTGTTTATTTTGAATTTTAAAAATAAAAGAAAATTAAAACTCCCAACCCCCACTCTTACCTCACGTTTTCTTCTTCCTTTATTTCTTGCTTACCACTTCTCTTTTTCTCTCTCAAACATACACACACACAACACAACACAACAAAAAGAAGTTATCGATGCCTCCCTCTCCTTAATCGTCAATCTTATAACCAAACCGTAGACTAAAGATCTACGAATCATTAAACATAAAGCACCAATCCACCTGACCAATCCCTTTCACAAATTCATGTTAAACTTGAAAACACGAAACCAAAAAGAAGACGAGCCAGATGCAAAATCAAAAATCATTTCACCCAAATGCAAAGTGCATATCAGTAAATCATTAATGTCAATCGGAAATCAAAAAGAAGATGAACCATATATGAGATCGAAAGTCGATGAGGAAAAAGAAGGTGAAACAGATGCAAAATAAAAATAAAAATAAATCAATAGATACGGTGGGAGATTGAGGTTCACAAATTCATATTAAACCTAAAAACACAAAACTAAAAAGAAGATGAACCAAACGCAAAATAAAAACCGATCCACACAAATGCAATTTTTTTTTCTAGGAATTAGTAGGCTTGAGATATACATAATCAAATATAGTTCAATACATATCAATGGAAGGAAAATTGAAAATCAGTAAATCAATAACTTCACATGTTCTATATATTTTTTAATGATTGAGTTTTTGTTTGAGTTTGACATTCCGGAGTTGTTTTAGCATTTTTTCTGTTGTCTTCTACAAGATCGAACTGTAACGCCCGTAGATCAGGGGTAGTCAATTTAGATACGATAAGCATCAAAAATGACTTTTTGATGGAAGATTATTTAGAAGGATTAATCTTAACCAAGTTGTAGTATATGTCTCAAGGTTTCCGAAAATATAAAGAACGCCGAAATCCGAGTTATAACGAAGAAGTTATAACATGTCGAAGTTTCGCGACAGAACCGGCACGACACAGCGCGACGTAAATAGTGAATTTACGTTAGAGCGATATTTGACATTAGCGATCTAAACGAAAGTCGTAGAATACGTTAAACCGAGAGCGTGCGTGAAAAGAACGCCCAAATCTGACTTCGTATGAGGAAGTTATGATTTTTCGAAGTTTCGGCTTAACAGTGTACAGCCCGAAGTTCGAATATGAGATCGAGCGAGATTTAGCCGAAACAATCTAAACGAGAATTGAAGATCTCGTTGATAGTAGTCCAACGGTAAAAAGACAGACGAAAACGGACGTCAGATGAAGGAGTTATGAATTTATAACAGAGTTTTCTTGTCCCGGCCTACTAAAAATAATATAATAAAAATAAATTCAAAATTAGCCTACGGAGTCTAAACGAGAGTTGTAGAGCATAATCTCACCTACGCGTGGATATAAAGAACGTCGAAAACGGAGCTCGTTTGCGAAAGTTATGAATTTCTGAAGTTCGGGGCGTGAACCCCAAGACTGTGTCAGAGCTCACGAGGTGAGCATATGTGGCTCACGAGGTGAGTCAGTTCACGAGGTGAGCATTAGTGACTCACGAGGTGAACAGATGATGGACGTCTTCCATGGCAAGTGGCCATGACGAACGCAATGACGTATCGAGCTCACGAGGTGAATATTAGAAACTCACGAGGTGAGCCAGTTCACGAGGTGAATATTAGAAACTCACGAGGTGAACTCAGAAAATTCACCCTATAAATAGAAATCGAGGGTCAGCCGATTTTGGTTGCTCCTTCTCATCTCTCCCACTCCCGATACTCTCTCTAAGCTCTATTTTAACACCCCGAAGCCCCGGTTTCATCCCGAGACCCGAAGCAAGTCCTGAAGCCCGAAGATCCCGAGAAGAAAAGAGTTTCCGAGCCGAAGCTCTGCCCGCGAGAAGCCCGATTTTTGTGAAGATCTTCCAGATCTACCGAAGAATACTACTTCTACAAGCCGTAGTGTTGTCCGATCATCTTCTGATCAAGTGAGTGTATAGTCCCTTTCATAAACACGATCTTAGTACAAGTATTGGTTGAATGTATTATATCTATGTTATGAGTGAGTGTGTAGTTACTTTCTTCTAACACATAAATATTAAGTATTTGCTATGAAATACGTGTTATGTGTTTATATATTGTTGATTATTCGAGATGGGTGCGGAATGGATGTTTTATATAGGTTTTAAATGAGTTAAACTGTATATGTATTTTATATCTACAAATATGTCGGGTAGAACATGGGTAGACGAAATAGCTGGTGTGTAATGAAGGATGAGTTTGAGGATGAGACGAAAGATAAACCTCGGTAGCTATGGATTTAGTACTGTAAAGATAAACCTCGGTAGCTATGGATTTAGTACTGTATAGATGAACCTTGGTAGCTATGGATTTAGTACCGTATAGACGAACCTTGGTAGCTATGGATTTAGTACCGTATAGACGAACGCTAGTAGCTATGGACTTAGTACCTGTTAGATAAACGTTGGTAGCTATGGACTTAGTACCTACACTGGTAGCTATGGATTTAGTACCCGATGAATGAACCATAGCAGCTATGGATTTAGTACTGTAAAGATAAACCTCGGTAGCTATGGATTTAGTACTGTATAGATGAACCTTGGTAGCTATGGATTTAGTACCGTATAGACGAACCTTGGTAGCTATGGATTTAGTACCGTATAGACGAACGCTAGTAGCTACGGACTTAGTACCTGTTAGATAAACATTTGTAGCTATGGACTTAGTACCTACACTGGTAGCTATGGATTTAGTACCCGATGAATGAACCATAGCAACTATGGAATTAGTGCTTTACGAAAGAACCTTGGCAGCTATTGTCTTAGTGCCTAATAAAGAATCCTGGCAGCTATTGTCTTAGTGCCTAATACAGAGTGAACGAATAGATGACTCTTAGGGTAGACCCTTAAGAGTAAGGAAGATAATGAGGATGGGTAATTGGAATGATCGTTTGATGATTGAATATATATATATATATATATATATATATATATATATATATATATATATATATATATATATATATATATATATATAAGATATAATATTGTGGGTTGAAAACCCTATATGCTCACCAGGCTCCCAAGTCTGACCCACTCAGTTTTCTTTGTATTACAGGTTGTGGCACAAGAGCGTAAGTTGGCTGACGTAACGAGAGATAAGGATTATAGGCCCGTAGTTATAATTAACTGTGTAAGGTCTATGTTGTTCTGTTTATGTTTTGGTCTGTATTGAACATGACATCCCGAGATTTTGTTATATAATGAAAATACATTTCTTTAAAGAAATGCTTTGATAAATTCTTATCATGTTTTGTTTTGGGTACAAATTCCGCAACTGTTTTCTTTAAAAGATTACTCTGATTTTAAAAACAAAGCATAAACAAATCGGTCTTTTCTGGCCGTGAAATTGGGGATGTCACACGAACTCACAAACTCCCCTCACCTGTACACCCACCTTTCATGGATTTTTCTTGATTCTTGAAAAACATATAAAACACCCCAGTTGTTGTTAGATAGAATAAGGGAGACATTTTGATATCAATACGGGGTGGTTGATTTCTTTTTGGGTTTTCTAATTTTAAGAACGCAACGGAAAATAAGAATAACGACAAGAAAACGATTAAAAAGGATAACTTGTTCGACAATAAAACAAGAAAAGATAGATGTGATAAACAATCTAGACCTATAGATCGAATATCGGTGAAGACAAATCAATACCTATTGATTTGAATTCGAATAACCTAGAATACGCGTCCTAGAATTGACAAAGGGGGCGAGTACGCAACTCAACAAAACAAAGTTCTTCAAAATTCAATTCATTCAACGTTAATCAAAATGTTTGAAATTGAGGGCTATTTATATCCTAACAACGATTGAAAAATAAAAGGAAACTAATAAATAAAAAAGAAACTATTAAATAAAGGCTAAAAATAACTCAAAAGTGTCTCTAGAATCTTCTAGGTCTAGCCAACATCAATAGCCATGCAAGTCAAAGGTCTAGTATGCTTAAGAGTCATATTAAAAGTGATATTTCTAATTAACATATGATACTAATGGGTCACACTAACAACAACTTGATATAACTGATTATTTATTAGAAATTGATTTTAATAAATATTCAATAAACTATTATAATTAATTGGAAATTATTTATTTCTTGGAAATACTAATTTTCAATAGCAAGTAACATAATGTATCATATGGTATGATTTATAAGTCATGTACATTATTTTAGACTAGAAAGGCTTTTGTCTTTTAGCCAAAAGCCAAACTTTATAACTTATAAAAGAACTTGTAAGTTTTTTATAAAAGTTTGACTTCTTTTTATATCATAAAACCGTGACATGCTTCTAGGAAGCATGTTATGGGCTTTTGATTATTTAAAAGAAAAGAATTACATGTCTTAAAAGCATGGGGAGACAAGTAGGCTTTAGGAGACATTATTGTCTTAAAGTGTTAAGGACTTATGGTCCATAAAATCACTTTATGCATATAAAAGATGAGACTTGAACTCATTCTTACTTGCTTGAAGGAATTGTTGAAACCTCTTCTCCCCCTCTCATTCTCTCTTAATTAGTTAAGAATACTTGAAGTTACTTGCATCTTCATGCCCTCTTTAAGTTCATATTGGTTATGAACTTAAAGCTTAAGGGTTTAAGAGTTTATGGACTAGCATCTACATCAAGTTGAGTCATTGTTGGTGTCTCAAAGGTTCCACATTCTTCATCAACTTCCAAGCCTCCCAAGAGGACCCAAAGAACTACAAATGTTGTTACTTCTTCATCATTTCTTTGGTTG